TTTAAAGTTTCCCAGCATGGTGTGGTTCTGAGTAACTGACCAATACTTGTTTAGGGAGGGATCGGCAGGCGGAACCCAAAATTGGAACCAACATCTTTCATAATTCATATTCTGGTCTATAACTTCCCAGCTGCACACGCGACAATTTACCCGCGGGCATATTATTATGCAGACAAGTCTGAGGATTATCTAGATATGAATTATGAAATATGTTGCACGGTTCACGAGTTCTATGTTTCGGCTCCCCTGATGGTCCGAGATAATTTGAATGACCCATCAAACTGTTCACCTGCTCCTAGCCAATCTGACTGGATGTCTGGTTTTTAGGTAAGTCTCTCATATTCCAAGATATGAGACAAAGTGGAAAAATGGAATTTAACAGAGTTTATCTGATTCTGTCACCTCCACTGGGTTAGGCTCATCAGGTCAGCATTTCTTTCAACTTCTGGGAAGGCTCTTTATCTGTTTTATGAGGTGTGAAACTACACAGGCACCTTGGTCAGTGAGGCTCCAATTCTCTTGGGAACACTGGCCTTATCCTGGCCTAGTTGGGAAAGGATACACTTTCGCAGACCGCTCGGAAATGCCTTGCCCGGCCAGTGACCCATAAACAGTACACATACACACACTGGCCAGAGGTCTCCTCTCAGTGAGAGGGAGGTGTGGAAAGATGAGGGGAGAAAATGGAGATGCCTAACAAAATGGTTGAACCACATCCATCTCAACGTTTGCAACAGGTAATGAGTTTAAAAACATTAGAAAAATATTTAAAAATGAAAGGTCCCCCATTAGCAGAGGCAGAGAATTTAAATGATTAAATGGATCTATATACATGATTAGACTAATAGGAGTAGAAAGAGATGATAAGACGAAATTGGACAGGGATTTTTGTATTGGGAGTGGGGGTGTTGGGAGGGAATGGGAATAATGTGTACGGGTATGATGTAATAAGAATACAGGTGAAACTCAAAAAATTAGAATATCGTGCAACAGTTCATTTATTTCAGTAATGCAACTTAAAAGGTGAAACTAATATATGAGATAGACTCATTACATGCAAAGCAAGATAGTTCAAGCCGTGATTTTGTCATAATTGTAATGATTATGGCTTACAGCTCATGAAAACCCCAAATCCACAATCTCAGAAAATTAGAATATTGTGAAAAGGTGCAATATTCTAGGCTCAAAGTGTCCCACTCTAATCAGCTAATTAAGCCATAACACCTGCAAACGGTTCCTGAGCCTTTAAATGGTCTTTCAGTCTGGTTAAGTAGGAATCACAATCATAGGAAAGACTGCTGACCTGACAGTTGTGCAGAAAATCATCACTGACACCCTCCATAAGGAAGGAAAGCCTCAAAAGGTAATTGCAAAAGAAGTTGGATGTTCCCAAAGTGCTGTATCAAAGCACATTAATAGAAAGTTATGTGGAAGGGAAAAGTGTGGAAGAAAAAAGTGCACAAGCAGCAGGGATGACCACAGCCTGAAGAGGATTGTCAGGAAAAGGCCATTCCAAAGTGTTGGGGACTTTCACAAGGAGTGGACTGAGGCTGGAGTCAGTGCATCAAGAGCCACCACACACAGACAGATCCTGGACATGGGCTTCAAATGTCGTATTCCTCTTGTCAAGCCACTCCTGAACAACAAACAACATCAGAAGCGTCTTACCTGGGCTAAAGAAAAACAGACCTGGTCTGTTGCTCAGTAGTCCAAAGTCCTTTTTTCTGATGAGAGCAACTTTTGCATCTCATTTGGAAACCAAGGACCCAGAGTATGGAGGAAGAATGGAGAGGCACACACTGCAAGATGCTTGAAGTCCAGTGTGAAGTTTCCACAGTCTGTGTTGATTTGGGGAGCCATGTCATCTGCTGGTGTTGGTCCACTGTGCTTCATTAAGTCCAGGGTCAACGCAGCCGTCTATCAGGAGATTTTGGAGCACTTCATGCTTCCTTCCGCAGACGAGCTTTATGGGGATGCTGACTTCATTTTCCAGCAGGACTTGGCACCTGACCACACTGCCAAAAGCACAAAAACCTGGTTCAATGACCGTGGGATTACTGTGCTTGACTGGCCAGCAAACTCGCCTGACCTGAACCCCATAGAGAATCTATGGGGCATTGCCAAGAGAAAGATGAGAGACATGAGACCCGAACAATGCAGAAGAGCTGAAGGCCGTTATTGAAGCATCCTGGTCTTCCATAACACCTGAGCAGTGCCACAGGCTGATAGCTTCCATGCCACGCTGCATTGAGGCAGTAATTGCTGCAAAAAGGGGCCCAAACCAAGTACTGAGTACATATGCATGCTTATACTTTTCAGAGGTCCGATATTGTTCTATGTACAATCCTTGTTTTATTGATTGCATGTAATATTCTAATTTTCTGAGATTGTGGATTTGGGGTTTTCATGAGCTGTAAGCCATAATCATCACAATTATGACAAATCATAACTATTGCTTTGCATGTAATGAGTCTATCTCATATATTAGTTTCACCTTTTAAGTTGCAATACTGAAATAAATGAACTTTTGCACGATATTTGAATTTTTCGAGTTTCACCTGTATATAGTTGTTTTGTAGTTTATTTTATAAAGAAAATTTAATAAAAGATAATATAAAATATATATATGAAAAAAAAATTACATGGCCTACCACTTTGTGTCTGAGTTGCTGTTGTTCCCAGTTGCTTCCACTTTGTTATAGTACCACTAACAGTTGACCGTGGAATATTTAGTAACAAGGAAATGTCACAGATGGACTTATTGCACAGATGGCAACCTATCACGGTACCACGCTTGAATTCACTGAGGTCATGAGAGCGACCCATTCTTTCACAAATGTTTGTAGAAGCAGTCTGCATGCTGAGGTGCTTGATTGTATACATATGTGGCCATGGAGGTGATTGGACCACCTGAATCCAATGATTTGGAGGACTGTCCCAATACGTCTGGCAATACAGTGTAAGCTCCTTCAGACACCTACTAGACTAGAGCCATTTAGTCACGATCACTATTCGCTGCTCACTTATGTTGGGAGGGTATGTCTAATGCAGGCCATAGATGGGTCGAAAATCGGCCGATTTTTCGGCCGAAAATAAAATCGGCCGATTTTCGGATCGTTAGTGGGCGATTTGGTCGGCCGTTTTTCGGTATTTTGGCCGTTTTTTTTTTTTCGGTAAAGTTGGAAAAAAATCGGCGATTTTCGCGGCAATTAGTGGGCGAATCGGCGATTTTTTACCGATAAAAAAACTGCGCATGAGCAGTGACCTGCAAGAGGAAGACAAAAAGAAGAAAAAGAAGAAGAGGAAGAGGATGAAGAAGAGGATGAAGAAGAGGAAGAGGATGAGGATGAAGAAGAAGAGGATGAGGATGAAGAAGAAGAGGATGAGGATGAAGAAGAAGAAGAAGAGGATGAGGATGAAGAAGAAGAAGAGGATGAGGATGAAGAAGAAGAAGATGAGGATGAGGATGAAGAGGAAGAAGAAGAAGAAGAAGAAGAGGAGGAGGAGGAGGATGATGAAGAAGAAGAGGATGAGGATGATGAAGAAGAAGAAGAGGATGAGGATGAAGAAAATGAGGATGAGGATGAAGAAGAAGAAGAGGATGAGGATGAAGAAGAAGAAGAAGAGGAAGAAGAGGATGAAGAAGAAGAAGAGGAAGAAGAAGAGGATGAAGAAGAAGAGGATGAGGATGAAGAAGAGGATGAGGATGAAGAAGAAGAGGATGATGAAGAAGAGGATGATGATGATGAAGAAGAAGAGGATGAGGATGAAGAAGAGGATGAGGATGAAAAAGAAGAAGAAAGAGGATGAAGAAGAGGATGAGGATGAAGAAGAGGATGAAGAAGAAGAAGAAGAAGAGGATGAGGATGAAGAAGAAGAAGAGGATGAGGATGAAGAAGAAGAAGAAGAAGTAGGATGAAAATAAGAATAATTCCAGTCCAGCAAAAAGTGTCTCTGCAGAGAGCTCCGCTATTTCTGACAGTTCTCTGACAGTTCCTTGACATTTACAGCGGTTGAAACATTGTATCTATTTGTTTCCGAATAAAAACATCTGTATCCTAAAATGGAAATAAATAGATACAATGTTTCAACCGCTGTAAATGTCAAGGAACTGTCAGAAATAGCAGAGCTCTCTTCAGGGACACTTTTTGCTGGCTGTAGAAGGGATGAAAATCGGCCGATTTTTTTTTACCATTGATGGCAACGTCGGCCGCTTGAACGACCGAATTTTCGTTTTTTAAAAGTAAAATCTGCCGTTTTTCTCCCCATCTATGGCCTGCATAAGGCTAACGTTCACACTAGTGTTGTGTGCAGGCAGCAGAGAGGCATTTGGGAAGCGTTTTTACCGCTTCCCAAACGCCTCGGACAATTCTGCACATTGCAGCACATGGTGCTGTTCTAACGGGAACGTTAACGTCGCGGCAAAACAGACGCCTCTGGTCCAGTCAGGAGGCGTTGAAGCCTCCTATTCTAGTTTATGGTGCCGCTCCGCAGTGTGGTTGTGACACGGTTGCGGGGTGTTTGCAGACCGGTAACACCATTCAAACTTCATTATAGGCATTTGTGGGGCGTTTTTAACGCTCGGCAAACGCCTAGCAACTGCCGCTAAACCGCGCATGTGGCGTTTGTGAAGCGTTTGCCTAGTGTTAAAAACCGCTCCGCAAACACCGGACCAACGCTTGCCAAACGCTATAGGGGCATTTGGCAAGCGTTGGTAAAACAGTCACGTGTGAACGAGCCCTTAGAAACAAAAACCCAGGGTACACCTTCACCCCGCCCACACTTCCTCCCGTCCTGTCAAACCCCGCCCAGCTTCTCCCACCCTGATACACCACGATGTCTCCTCTACACGCCAAGCCCTGTAGGGGGCGGTCCCAGGCTGCGGGAACGTCTTCACTGGACGGGGCAACGTGACAATGACGTAACCCGGAAGTTCACATCGTCTAGGCTGGTCTTCCTGTCTAGCAGCGGTGTGTGTTTTAGAGCCGGCTTGCGTTCCACGCCTCGGCTGGATTTCACGTTCAAGCCGGTGGTTATGGCGGGAGAGAAGCATGGAGGAGGCTGGGGGGCGCTGCGGGGGATAATGGCGGCACTTCTCCTGTCACTTTCCCCCGTTTTGTGTTTTACTGCTGCAGGTAACCCGGAGCCCTCTTCTCCCTCGTGTAATGTTATCTGGTAGGGCTCGGTGTATGTCCTGTACAGGACTATCCCGTGTGTTGGCATGACGTTTATAGGGCCTGGTGAATGAATGGCAGCCTCACAACTGCAACCACTATAGTTTTATTAGAGAAATGTAGCCGGCATGTCCTGTGTACAGAGGGACTGGCATGGTGACTACAGCTGGCTGGGTGACAGGATCAGAGTGGGTGATGGGAGGCTCAGGCCTTCACAATGGCTCTACAGCTCATAGAGTGGTTAAAGTATCACTAAAGGCAAAACTTCCTAGTTGTGGAGAGGGATTACAATGCCTGTCAGTGTTTATTGCTCTTTGCTCCCTATAGACCTCATGCATATCTACATAAAACATTCTGCTTCTAGGCTCGGTTCACACTGCTGCAACCTGAAAGTCGTGCCTTTGCCAGGCGACTCGAGTACAACCTTGATGTGACTATTGTCATTTGACTTTGCCTGGGTAATCTTCCTGTAATCTCCAATCCAAATCGCATCAATATAGGGAAGCACTCTAAATGGTTAGCACCCGCTTGTCAGTACTAGGGTCATTGATTCGTATCCCACCCACAGTACCACCTGCCTGGAGTTTGCATGTTCTCCCTTTGCCTGTGTGGGTTTCCTCTGGGTACTCCAGTTTCCTCCCCCACTCCAAAGACATGCTGGTAGGTTAATTGGCTCTTGTCTAAATTGGCCCTAGTATGTGTATGTATGAATGTAAGTTGTGGACCTTAGATTGTAAGCTCCTTGAGGGTTAGGGACTGATGTGAATGTACTATATATATATATATATATATATATATATATATATATATATATATATATAGCGCTATGTAAATTGACGGCGCTTTATAAATACCTGAAATAAATAAAATAACTTGGAGGCAACTTCCAATAAAGTCTATAGGCACAAGTCAGATAGAAGTCGCCTTGAAGTAGTACAGGAATCTTCTGTAAAGTCGGAGTGAATTCAGTAATGGTAATTGACCGCTTTCATTGGCTGAGATGGGATTTCGCATGTCATGCGACTTGGGGTCTCACAAGTTGGATCCCAAATTACGGCAGTGTGAACTGAGCCTTACAGGCACACAGCATATTTGGTTTTATGCCTCTGAATGCAGTTTTATGTTAGACTATGTGGTCATGCACATCAGCCATTTTAGATCAGTATTTTCAAAGTGGTTATACAGTCATCATTTTTTTTTTTTTTTTTTTGCGTTTCAAGTGGCACTTACTGTGAACCAACAAAAATAAAGCCAAGATAAATAAACATCATAACTATGCTTACCAACTCATTAGAAAATAGAAAGTGCCAACATCAGGGGCGGACTGATCATTCAAGAACTCGGGCACAGCCCGAGCTCAGTAGGGAGCCCCATGAGATGCCCTTGTTACCTTTCATAGGCTTTTTTGGGTGTGGGCAGGGACACAGGGGCCCCATGATCTATTGCCCGGGGGTCCCATGAGTTGTCAGTCCGCCCCTGGCCAACATATAAGTGTTATAATGCATAAACCTAAAGTGCCATCTCCAGTCCTTGAATACTATATTCCAACATACTTTATATAGCACCATCAACTTATGCAGCGCTTTACATTTAATATTCACATAGTACCTGCCCCCAAGGAGCTTAGAATCTAAAGTTCCTAACATACATACTAGGGCCAACTTAGGATAGGTTCACACTTATGCGGACTTCAGTGCGTTTCCCGGTTTGCGGAAACACTACAGATCATTTAACATGATTTCCTATGGATCTAGTTCACATCTGCGGATTTTTGAAAGGGTCAGAGACTTTTTTTTTTTTTCCCACAGCAAATTATTTTGTGTGTAATAGACTTCAATAGAACCGCACCATAAATGCAAGTGTTATGTTTTTGTTGATATTTTTTAAATGCATTTTATGTGTTGTGCCTTGTGCGACTTTAGCTGGCTGTTAAGGAGAAGGCGTCCTTAACAACTAGTAGATCCAACATCAATCACGATGAATGCCACCGCTGACCCGAAGAAAAAAAAGTTTTGAACCCAATGAAGGCTCCTGCCATCTGACAGCTCTTAAATAAGCTAAGGGGTGGGGCAACCCAATGTCACCAGGTGACCCCCACCCCTTTGTGATGTCATTGGCTGGTTCGATGATGTCACAAGATGGCGGGTGTCACCCAGTGATGTCACTGCGTGGCTCTGCCCATTGGCTTGTTTAAGAGCTCACAAACAGTGGGACGTCGGTGGCCGTCAGCTCCTTAACAACCAGCTAAAGTCACACACAGAGCAAATGCATAAAAGATGCCAAAAAAAAGGCATCAAAAAAGGATGTAAAAAAATGCACCTGGAAAATCCTGGAAACTTGATTTGCATAGACGTGAACCTAGCCTTAGAGAGGAGCCAATTTACCTTGAAGCATGTCTTTTGGAGTGTGGGAGGAAACCGGAGAAAGCCCATGCAAACTCCAGGCAGGTAGTTCCATGGTTGGATTTTGAACTGAACTCCCTAGTGCTGCTAGGAGGAAGTGCTAACTACTTAGCCACTGTGCTGCCCAAAATTACAAAATCTATGGTGCCATTAAGTAAATGCCATCTTTTATAAATTTAAAGTGCCATGCATAAACCTCATGCATAAACTCATACTTGAATACTATATATCAATCCCTTTTTACTAACAAGTCCTGTTTGAGACTCACTGTGTATGATGTAATCAACAAATCTGTTGGTGCAAAAATAATCACTGGTGCTCAGACTTCACATCCTGCGGTGTTTAATATGTGCAGTACACTGTTATCCCCTCCTTTTTCACCACTCTCACAAGAATATGATGACCCCTTATGTCATAAGTGGATCTCGTCTGCTTTAAAATGGACTCCTCCACTGGTAACTGTGTCCCCGCTTTGTTAGGAAGGCTTTCCTGCTGTTCCTCTCTGTTATGCATGCATGTTTGGGAATAGCCCAGAGGAAGCCTCCAGTAGCGTAATTTAGGTTTATTTTCACCATAAATACAATTTAAAATGCACTTACAATGCTAAAATGCTTGCACTATATACAAACCACATCCCATGTGTTACTTCCTGTGTTCCACTGCCCGGAAATGCGCAAGCGGAAGTGATGTAACAAGCCCTGGCCAACTCATTTCATTTATCACAGAGATGTTATCAGGGATGTTTTCTTGCTTATAACAGTGATGATCATTGTAAATACATATAATTGTACACGTATGAGCAAAAAAATGTATTCCAATGGCCAGAATTTACGCTTAACACCATACTCTCACAGACGCACAATATTTAAGGCTTTTATTCTGCCATGTTTTTTCAGAAATAATATATAAATATATATATATATATATATGTATGTATATGTATACATTCATATGCCCATGTGCATGAGGCCTTGGGGAGGGTCACTGTGTCTTTGTCCTATTCGTGAAAGTGAAAAAAAAACCAATCCCAAATTCTTGGTTGACACCAGAATATTAATAGAGGGGAAATCTTCCATTGGGAACACTCGTGTTCTCTCTCTCACTTTGGAGGGATTTCCTCTAACTTCCTGTTTTGGCTATAGGACAGAATGTGAAGGGAAAACTCGCCAAATGAGAAGGCAAGAAAAAAAAAAAAAAATCTGGCGGGTTATAACTCTCCCTTCATCTATCCAAAATGAGGTTTTGCCTTAAGTTCTACTTTGAAGGCTCTTTCACACGGGCGTTCCGTATGTCCGTTTTTCATCTGTCCATTTACGGATGAAAAATGGACACCCATGTATTTCTATAAACTAGTGGATGTAAACGGATGATCATCTGTTTACATCCGTTAATGCCTGCATCCGCTTTTTGCACTAAAATAAAACCCTATTAAAGCCCTATTTTTCTTCTGTAAAAAAAAAAAAAAGGAACATACAAAAAAACGGATGTAAACGGATATATGGATTGTTTTTGCATTGGTAAAGAATGTAAAAAACAGATGTGAACTGATCCATTTCTTCTTGGAATAAATGTGACTGAACTGATGAAAAAAAGGAACGCCCATGTGAAAGGACTCTAACATTTGCGTGGTAGTGGCACCATCATAGCAAGACCTTTCAATGTCATACTTCTTACACAGTGTTAATAAACCTGTCCTGAGCTTTGTATGTAATGTTACTGAAAGTAGAATAAAAGGCAAAATGGATTTACATTTTTTTGGCTAGAGTATGGAGGTTTATAACCCCTGTCAATTTTTGTTTGCCATCTGTGTCCCATTGGGGAGATTTCCCTTCACTTCCTGTCCCATAGCCAAAACAGGAAGTCAGAGGGAATCCCTGGTTGTCATCAGAACTAGTGTGCCCAGTCAAAGATTTTTCTCTCTACTACCATTGAAGGGGCAGGGCTTTCTATTCACTTTCGGTGAGGACAGTAAACTTGACAAATAGGGTAAATCTCTCTAATGAGGGAAGATGTCAGCAATACAAACTAATCCCTCTCAGTCAAACTTAGTATATGTTTTGCTATACTATAAAGTACCACTGCACGTTTATTTGTAATTATATTTGCCTTTTATATATGTTGATTTTGCAGGGATTGATTGCTGGTGGCATTTCACACTTATTCAACAAATGTTTATTGTCTTTATTAAGGAAACCAAGTAGATGTTGTGAAACTTGTGGAAGGCAAATTTGACATTTATAAGGAATCGCATAATTTTTGCTACCAGAAACCTTACGAACCAAAATGGCATGACATCTGGACTAAAGTGCAGGTAAGCACTGTAATATGTCAATGCACATGATGCTTTGTATTTATTTTGAATATAATGGCAGTCTGTGTTATTTAAATGGCCTATCACAAACCTGGATGACTTGGATTCTCTCCGTTAGAAATAATGTCAGTGTGCATGCAGAAGAGACTGGATCCAGTTGAGATCATGCACTTCTCTTTGTCTTAAAGCAGTATTAAAGCCACAAACAAAAACTACCGTATTTTTTCGCTCCATAAGACGCGCCTAGGTCTTAGAGGAGAAAAACAAGAAAAAAAAATATTCTGAACCAATGGACTGCAGACACAGTACAGGAGATGGACGAGAGACTGCGGACACAGTACAGATGGAGAGAGACTGGACGAGAGACGAGAGACTGCGGACACAGTACAGGAGATGGACGAGAGACTGCGGACACACAGTACAGAGATGGACGAGAGACTGCGGACACGGTACAGGAGATGGACGAGAGACTGCGGACACGGTACAGACTGCGGACACGGTACAGGAGATGGACGAGAGACTGCGGACACGGTACAGATGGACGAGACTGCGGACACGGTACAGGAGATGGACGAGAGACTGCGGACACGGTACGGGAGATGGACAGAGACTGCGGACACGGTACAGGAGATGGACGAGAGACTGCGGACACGGTACGGGGAGATGGACGAGAGACTGCGGACACGGTACGGGAGATGGACGAGAGACTGCGGACACGGTACGGGAGATGGACGAGAGACTGCGGACACGGTACGGGAGATGGACGAGAGACTGCGGACACGGTACGGGAGATACGGAGAGCGGACACGGTACGGGAGATGGACGAGAGACTGCGGACACGGTACGGGAGATGGACGAGAGACTGCGGACACGGTACGGGAGATGGACGAGAGACCGCGGACACGGTACGGGAGATGGACGAGAGACCGCGGACACGGTACGGGAGATGGACGAGAGACTGCGGACACGGTACGGGAGATGGACGAGAGACTGCGGACACGGTACGGGAGATGGACGAGAGACTGCGGACACGGTACGGGAGATGGACGAGAGACTGCGGACACGGTACGGGAGATGGACGAGAGACCGCGGACACGGTACGGGAGATGGACGAGAGACCGCGGACACGGTACGGGAGATGGACGAGAGACTGCGGACACGGTACGGGAGATGGACGAGAGACTGCGGACACGGTACGGGATGGACGAGAGACTGCGGACACGGTACGGGAGATGGACGAGAGACTGCGGACACGGTACGGGGGATGGACGAGAGACCGCGGACACGGTACGGGGGATGGACGAGAGACCGCGGACACGGTACGGGGGATGGACGAGAGACCGCGGACACGGGGGGATACGGGACCGACACGGACGGAGACCGCGCGGACACGGTACGGCGGACACGGTACGGGGGATGGACCAGAGACCGCGGACACGGTACGGGGGATGACCAGAGACCGCGGGGGATGGACGGGTACGGGGGATGACCAGAGACCGCGGACACGGTACGGGGGATGACCAGAGACCGCGGACACGGTACGGTACGGGGGATGACCAGAGACCGCGGACACGGTACGGGGGATGATCAAGAGACCGCGGACACGGTACGGGGGATGATCAAGAGACCGCGGGACACGGTACGGGGGATGATCAAGAGACCGCGGACAGGGTACGGGGGATGATCAAGAGACCGCGGACCTTTGGGGGGGGGGGGGGGGGGGGAGGGAGGGTGAGCGGGCACCTGAATTTGACAAGTACCCGCTCCCACTTCCGCGGAGTTGTCCTCCCTTTACTGTGGGCGCCCGGCTGTGACAGGCGGGTGCCCACTGCGCATGCGCGACAAGTGCTAGACTTTGTGAATGGCCCGGCATCTTCTGGGACCTGTCGTGTGTCAAAGCGCAGCGCTTCTCGCGCATGCACAGTGGGCACCCGGCTGTCACAGATGCTGGCGCGGGAAGACTGCAGCGCTGGACCGAGGAACAGGTAAGGTCCTGCAGCAGAGAACAGCTGAGCGGCCGGCCCAGTATTCTGACATGGTGGCGGCGGAAATACCGGGCCGGCAGCTTTATATTCGCTCCATAAGACGCATTGACATTTCCCCCCCTCCCCCCCCCCTTTGGTGGGGAAAAAAGTGTGTCTTATGCAGTGAAAAATACGGTAAATCTTTTGCAGTTTCCCAATCCCTTGGTGCACTAGTGAATATGGAATGCAGAACTCCTCTTTCCAAAAAATGAATTTTTCCACAGCAACTTGGTTTGTCCTGAGGAATGCATGTATTGGGTCCCAGCAGAGGACACAGTCCACAGAGTGTTTACAAATAATACAATGATCAGAAGCCTTCAAAGCACCCAATTCTGCTCTGATGGTACGTTAGCAGATAAAGATATTTGCCAGTCCAACATATTTTCAACCTATAATATGTATATAGGTTGCTTCTATGCATACAATAATGTATAATTTCTAGGCCTGAGCTTCCATAATAATGTTGTGACTGCAATCAAAAAATACTTTCTTGATACACAGTTTCTACCCCCCAATCTATAAACAGGTGATTGGTCAGTAAAGCACTTTTCATCATAACATAAAAAGACCTTACTGAAAGCAACAGTAGCTAGAATTAAGCTACAATGTATGGAATCCCCGTTACCGAGGATAGTAAATAACTGAACATCTGACTAATTTATATTTCTCTTTGTTAGTTATCTAGTTACCCTCTGCCTGTTGAGTAGAATTAGCATTGGAATAGATTTTTAGTAAAAAGCAGCACATAATACTCACATTAACACTTTTTATGCACAGTTAACCCTTTTGCCCCTAGGTTTTAACCTCTTTCCCTCCAGTGCCATTAATACAGTGACAGTGTTTAAAGTATTATCACTGTATTAGTGTCACGGGTGATGTCCGTGGCAGTTGGCCAGTTTCCACCCAGTGTTGGATTGCCTGCCACACTATCGCAGTCCCACTATAAGTCCCTGATTGCAGTCATTACTAGTATTAAAAAAAAAAAAAAAATTCCAGTATATACTGTGTACCCTAGTTTGTAGACGGTATAACTTTCACACAAGCCAATCAATATACACTTGATGGGATTTTTTTTTTCTACTAAAGACATGTGGCAGAATACATTTTGGCCTACATTTATGATGAGATGTTATTTTATATATTGAATGTTTTATATCAGAAAGTAAAAATATTGTGGTTTTGTTTTTTCTCTTTTCAAAAATTTCAGTCTTGTTTTCATTTTAATAATAAAAAGAATCCAGTGGTAATCGAGTACCACCATAAGAAAGCTCCATTTCTGTGAAAACAAATTACATAAACATAATTTGGGTACAGTGTTGCATGAACGCACATTTGCCACGTGTCCCTATTTTGTCCTCACCTTTGTAGGACTGAGTAAAATTTGCAAGCAGCTCCCCTAACCTGGCTGCAATAAACTTGTGGCTGTCCAGCTGTTGCTTCCCTGGTGCAGATCTTACTGTATGGACTTTTAAATCGTCTTTTTGCATGGGTGTTGTGGCTGGCATTTGATTGTTGTCTTGCTAAATGCAGGTCTTTTTCCCAAGGGTGAAACTATGGCTGTGCAGCTTTCTAGCATGTAGATTCTGCCTGATTTAATTGCCTTTTTGTTTTCCTCCGAGAATGCAGGTTCTGTACCTGATTTTTGCTGGATCTAATGGCACCCCTTATGGTGGATAGAACACTCTGAGTTTCACAGTGGCTTGGGGTGGAATGAAAGCACCTGTCTGGATGCATGGGGCTGTTTGAAAGACCAAGCAAAATTTGTAAGCAGCTCCCCTTATCTGGCTGCAATAAACTTGAAACCATTGACCTGTTGCTTTTCGTGTGCAGACCCAGCTGTATGGACCCTTAAATAGGATATTTGTATTGGTGTTGTGACTGGCATTTGAGATTGTTGCTTTTCCAAAGGCTGAAACCATGGCTGTGCAGCTTTCTAGCATTTAGATTCTGTCTGATCTTAATGTTTATTTGTTTGCCTTTGAGAATGCAGATTCTGCTTCTGACTTTTGCTAGATCTAATGAAGCCCCTTATGGCGACTGGAACTTTTTGCATTTCACAGTGGTTTGGGGTGGGATGAAAGCATGAGGGCTGTTTTGAAGTGTAACTTCAATTCATTTTTTTTTTCCTGTGGACAATTCCCTTGGGTGATCTAGGTATGTTCCCCTGAGTGGTAGTTAACACTTAAGGGGTTTTTCCTAAACAAGCTAAATTCCTGTTGCATTGAGCCTTTTTTTTGGTCTGCTATTCAATATTTATAACAGCTGTAGTTTGGAGTAGACAGGTGTTTAGTATCTTTAAATTACTAGATGGCTTCAGTAACAAGTGTGTGTGTGTGTAATTTGTTTTTTAAGTGTGGAGTTCTCTCGTAAATGTGCTCAGTATCCCTGCTGGACAGGGATTTGTTTTTTTTTTTTTTTTTTTTACTGAGACAAGTCCCTGTACATCCAGTTAAATCCACTTATGCTATGGCTGCTCTGATGCAGGCTAATGGCTGGTGAGATCCAGTGCCTCCCCTTATGATATTTTTTCCTAGATTTAGTCCTTCTGTGGGCCTCTTAAACCCATATGCCAAATGCTTCCATGTTTTTTCTTACTGCAATTTGCTGCAAAACCTTGTGCTTACTGTCCTGAGCCATGAGTTTGTCTGCCCGTCTTTGTAGCCAGCTGTTGCCAAGAAGTTAAGGGGCATCTTTCAGGTATGGAAAACTGACTAATGAGCTTGTTGCCATTCAGCCTCTCCAGATCTGCATGCATCATGCAGATCCTAAGCTGGGCCTGTGCCGCTCATGCCTTGGAAGGGATGGAATTCCCTAAAATAGAAGATCCTGCAAAATTCCTTGCAAAGCAGCAGATGTATTTCAAGCACCCTTTGGTTACCGAATTAAGGATCCATCTGGAAGTACGAAGCAAAAGCATATTTTCACAGCAAGATGTCAGAATTTTGCCCCTTTTACAGAGGAGGGTGTCCCAGCATA